GAAGTGACTCAGGAAGAAGTGAACAGAGAGATGTCCCAAAGAGAAGTAAACCTTCAGAGCTTGGAGGAGAACGTATGTGATGTACCATCACTCACACGGGTCAGACCTGCAGAACAGGGCTGCTTGAAACGCCCCATCTCCCGAAAATTAGGCAGGCAGGAATCCGTTGATGAGTTGGACAGAGAGAAGTTGAAGGTCAAGATCGTTATGAAAAAGCAAGATTTTGCTGAGAAATCAAACACAATACACGAACCTACCAGTGAGCCAGAAAATCCCAATCTCAATACCTTGAAATTGGAAGAAAGGGACAAAAAAGGGTTTCAGAAGGTTTTAGAAAGATCAAACCAGTTTGAAGCAAAAATTGTTACTCTGGAGACTCAGTCAGCTGGTGGCATACTCAAAGACACCCTTCAAAAGAATGCAAACTTAAGATCAAATGAGTGTGTTCCTTTAGATGCACAGATGTTGTGTCATGGGTCTCCGCTTAATGAACCCAGTCACATTTCTTACGACTTCAAAAGAATTTCCCCTCCATGTACATTGCAAGATGTGCTACCTCAGTCCTCTGACAGAACACTAAATGGAAAGGGAGAAAACAGAGATAAAAATGCATCGGCAAAAGAATTTGTAAAATTTGAAAGATTAGATGGTAAGCTTGCAAATATTGATTATCTTAGAAAGAAGATGTCCTTTGAAGAAAAAGACGACAGTGTTTGTCCAGTGCTAAAACCCAAACTGACTTCAAGTGTTCATGAATGCTTTCAACTTAATACAGTCAGATCCATAAACATACAGCAGGATTGCACTGCAGTTGCTGATGGTAGAGCATTTATCAGCAGTGCACATGCTGCTCAGATTAGCTCCGTTTCTTTCATTCCTCTCAAAGCTTTGAATGTCCGAGTGGAAGCTAGTGTTGAAAAATCAACCCTTATTTCCACCGAGTCTCCTGTCAGAAAAAGTCCATCAGAATATAAACTGGATGGAAGATCTGTTTCCTGTTTGAAGCCGATAGAAGGAACATTGGACATTGCCTTACTTTCTGGTCCACAGGCTTCAAAGTCTGAACTGCCTTTGTGTATACTGCCAGAATGCCAGAGTACTAACAGTGATGTGTCATCTCCTAAACCTCCCGTTCCCCAGGGGAGCGGTGGGCATGCAGAACTGGACAGTCAGAAAGAGCAGTTGTTAAGCTACTCAAAGTCTAGCAAAGCCAACATGCTAGAGCCCCAGTTTCTGCAAGCAAGCAGAAGTCCTCAAAATCCATCAGCCACTCTTGTCACAACTGAGGCAGTGACAGAAAAAAAGATCTTTAGTGGAGCTGCTAGAGGCAACGTCTCTGTTACTGAAGGTGTTCAAAGGAAAGACACTTCCCCTTCAAAACAAAAGGACAATTCTGTGGAGTCATGTGCTATTCAGAATCAGAGTCTTAAAACCACCCAAACATGTTCCAAAATTTCTACTGTCCAAAGCACTCCTGAAAAAGCTGTAGAAAAAGAGAAGCAAACACAGAAAGAGTTGCCTGCCGGACAGCTAGCAGCCCAGAGAAATTATGAACCTCTCCCTGCAAAGGTGGAGGTGGTCAGGGAGTCATCTCTGAAGGTGTCCGTCTCGAATGTGCTGACAACTAGTTATGCCAAAACCAAGGAAAAGCATTTTGTTGACTTTGCCATTCCACCTCAGATGCAAGGAAAAGTGCAGGCAGCTGGTCCCAAGACACAACCTAGGGATAGCAGAGATGCACTGAAGCAGCCAGGCAAAGATGATGTCACCAAAGCAAGTAGCTCTGTAGAGAAAGACACAAAGCAGAAGATTTTCAGCGAGTCCAAGAAAGTTATTGCAGAGTCAGAGAGTGAAACCAGTCCATCCAAATTGCTTCTGCAACCTCCAACAGAAGGTGATCCTAAAAATGGGAAGCTTGCACAGTGTCCTCCTATACAGAAGGACACTACCAAAGATTCAGGAAAGAAAGATCAGAAGCCACTCACCGAAATTCAGCTTCAGGCTACTGAGAGAGAGCTGGCCAACCAGGCTCCTCAGCAGCAACTTAATGCCTCAAGCTCCCCTGCTGTGAAAGAGTCTGTAAGCAGAAACTGTGCTGCAGATGTTCCGGTAGAACATGTGAAGCCTGCTGCTGCCTGTGTGCTGGAAAGCAGCAGTAATAAATTCAGGCCTGTCTCTGATAATAGTTCCTCTAAACCTAAGTACTCGGATAAACAGACTTTTTCACAAAAAACATGCACTCCAACTGTAAAAGAAAAAGATACCATTATTCAGGTGTCTGCCAGCTCCTGGAAAGATGGGAAATGTGCCAGTAAAAACGTGCAAGATACTTCCTTTGTTTCAGGCTCTATGAGAAAAATGAGCAATGAACACGTTCAGGTTGAAAGGCCTCTGGGTTTGGAACATGGGTCAGTATCCACCCTTCCAACGAATAGTATCACTCCTGAAATCAAACCCAAATCGTCTGCTGTTGGCCAGGTACCAGCAGGCCCAGAGAGTTCTAAGCTAATGCAAAGGCAAGAACCAGCAGGCTTTGGGGAATCTGCTGATCGAAAGCATCTTCACCTCAGTGAAAAACAAACTGTCTCTCCAAAGTTTTCCACTGTGAAAGACACTCTCCTGCTGAGCAAAGAGATGGAGAGAATCCCTAGTAACCAGATGATCTTGGCAGACAAAAAACCTGAAGGAAAAATATGCACTGACGCACTTTATGTTCAACATGACAGTGGAAAAGTAGAGCCTACCCTTTGCTTCACAAGCTGTGATGCCAGAGGAAAAGGAGCAGAAAAAGTAACCACAAGTAGCAAAAGCCCTCAAGATTCAAAAGGGAAAGGACATGCTAATCAAAAACAGCCAGAGGATGCAAACAAGCACGTGGCCACCAAGCATTCTTTGGCTGCTGCGGGGCAGAGCTCCTGTCGCGTGGCTGCAGTGCCAGGAAAGCCACCGACTCCTTCAGCCAATTTCCCTGAGTGCAGACAAGAAGCATCCACCTCATTCTCAGCCAAGAGCAATGCAGCTTCAGTGAAGGCTAAAGCAGCCTCACCTGAGCCTCCTGCAGGCATCTGCAAGGAACTGAATAAGAAAAGCACCTCTTCTGTAGGAAGTGGTAAGATGGGAATGACTAAAAGTATTTCCCTGATGACCTTGCACAGTGCTGCTGTTGCAGTTGAAACCCACCAGGCTGCTTCAAACCTCGGGGGGAAACCTGGAAATCAAGACAGGTCTTTTTCTGTTAGCACTGTGGATGTAAAGGGAAAAGATGCCATACAGGCTCAGCCTTCTGCTTCAAGAAAACAGAATGCAGGTAAAGATCTACCCAGGTCAGCAACTGCACCTGACCGCCCCAACGCACTTTCCAGCGACAAAGACTCGGCCCGGCAGCGGCGAGGAAAGGACGCTCTGCGGAGCAGTCCCCACAAAAAGTCCTCTTGACTCTAGTACCTGGCAGGTGGGACCGCAGGACTGGCTGAAAACATGTCAGTGTGTTTTGACTACCTTCAAACCAGCACGGTGTAGTATCCTTGTGCAGCAAAGATTTCATGTCACTGAAGCAAGAGGACAGAGGTTCTTGTGTTTTTTTCAAAATGCCTTCCCAAATGTAACCGGTAAAACTGTTACCATATAGTATTTGTATAAAAATACCTTTACAACTGAGAACTGTTGAAAATTTCCTCTGTAAATACGTAGTGATGTGTTTGGGGTTTGAATGTAGCATATATACCTTGCTGCTGATTGCATTGTTTACTCTCCCCTTTTTTAAAATAGTTGCTTTGCCACTTGTTTGCCATAGTCAAATATGGAAATTACTGAAATACAGACCTGGCATGGACATGCACAAACATTGGTCTGACTGGAAAACAGAAATATGCCACATTTTTACTTACTAAAAATCCTAGCTAGAGTTTAAAAAAAAAAAAAAAAACTAGGAAAGAATAAATATGGTGACTTATTGTGAGTTTTTACATGTATTTTTAATAATCAGATTTTGATCGTACTGTATCTGGCTAACTGCTTCACCAGATCTAACATGAGATCCAACTGCATCTCCCTACTGCACAAAACCCGTCTCTTAAAATAGGTATAATGAAAGCTAGGGGAGGAGCACTGCATCATCACCACATCCCAGGAAGAGTAGTGTTTTCTGGTGAAATGGTTGTTCTCGTCTTGTCCATTGGGAGTGTATTCTGTGACCTTCACCTCAGACAAGGCTGAGACTCTAGAGCACAGGCTGTTTGCTTAGTTTCTGCTGCAACCCTCTCTTGGTTTCCTTGAGCTTTTAAAATTCAGGTCCTTAACAGTGTGAGGCACAAGTATAAGCACATGACTTGCAGTACTTTATCCATCCCTGTTTTTATCAATTCAAAGTGTGTGTTATTATGACATACAGACTTGCATAACTAACTTCATGCAGCTGTAGCTTTTTTTTTTTTTCTTTTTTTCCTATTTTATGAATTGTGGTAAAAAGGGGAAAAAAGGCAATTTCAGTATCATATATTCAGAAAAGTTCAGGATATCTGAAGCATTTTAATACATAGCTGGGGCCTTACGTTGTAGACTTAACTTGCTGTTTTTAGCAAGTAATTCTGGGTTTCACATTCATTTCTAAATGCATTGAGTAGCTCCGTACATTTCATAACGTGATCTTTTTATTTGTATGCAAAAAAGTAAATACTGTAATTAAGAGAAGCATTTTTTGTAACAAAGGAACCTGTTGGAGCTATTTGGTGCTAGAATGTGACTGTCTTTTTACTTTTGCTAAACCTTATTTAAATTTTGTATACTGTGGAACATGTAGACTTTGATTGTTTTAGTGTGGAGGTATTCAGTATGTTTTGAAGGATGAAAGGTAAAATTTGAAACATGTACAGGAGCACTACAAAATATCTTGGTGGGTGAGTGTTTTTAAATGAGCAGGATTAGTAAGATGGTATTTTTGCTTATTTCTGTTGTTTGTATCCATGCTAGGGCTAAGCCTGTACCTGTTTCATTGGGGCTTATGGATTGTCTTTCTGTCTCAAAAGCTGTAAAATTGTTCATAAAAGCACAGCGTAATCTTGACTTGGAGATTTGCTTGACAGCTGATAGTGTACAGATTTCCTTCTGGGCAAGCCTTTATTACAGTGATTAGCTGAGTTGGATTACAACTAGCCTGTCACGGAAAGATAAAATCCCAAACAAGTCCTGAGCTTTCATGTGGCACTAGAACATTCATACTACCTTTCATGTGTTCACAGAGGAGCTAGTGAGTGACAGAAAATACTTCTGAGCAGTTTTGAAGAGAAATGGTCTCAACATTTACAGTTCATCTGTGCTTTGGCAGTTATTACAAACAAATGCTAATGCACTTCAGTATTCCCTTCTGAAAAAAAATTTTGTTTTTTTTTTTTTTTTGCATTATGGAAGTGTAACAGTGCTTAAGCCTGTGTTTATGTATTACCTGTTTGTTGGTGTATACCTTATCAGTGAGCTGTTAGAGATCCTCCTACCTGTGTGCTTCTTGGTCAGTCTTTCTGTGATTGTAGATCTGATGTGTTCCTTTGTAGACTTCCTGCTGTAGATTTCTCAGCTTACAAAAAGAGAGAAAAAGAAAAAAAAAAAGTTAGGGTCTGTGCAATAAAGTGTTTGCAGTCTTATTTTCTCTAAGAAACTCCTTATGGATGGCATAACTGTTGTATATTGAACACAATTATTTATACTTATGCAGTTGAATAATATTGAAATAAAACTTTAGCATGAAGGCGTGTTGTCAGCATTCTCTTTGGAACTGTTTTTTGCTGCTAGAACTTTGGACGTGTCTCTACTGTGTTGTGGTGGGGCCGGAGGGCACTTACTCTTTTGCTCAGTTAGCCGAGAAAGGCACATGGGGTTCAAGGATGTTGTATGAGAAATGTAGTCCAGTCAAAAGAAGGAGCTGTGCTATATTTGCAGAAGGTCTGAACGAATAGAAGGAGTATCTACTAGCAACTGCAGTAGGCCATAATGTGACACATAGCATCTCTTCCAAAATGTGTGTCATCATTCATCGCAGTAGTCTGGCTTGGTTTTGAGTGCTTTCTCAAAATACCATTTTTCTTTGATTTTTATTGAATTCATGACCTGAAGAAATGCATGGAGCATTTGTATTATGTGCATCCTCTTCAGTTTTTAAATCTCCACCTGCTAATATCAAATCTCCCTTTAATCTTTCTCACTGCATAAGGTCAGAGATGAGTGAACCAGACGGGAGAGAGCAAGCAGAGGACCTTGGCATCTGCTGGCTACTTGATGGATCCTCTTGGCAGGAGAAGCACAGATTCACATCTTCCACACCTTCAGTGCAGCAGTGCATAGAATATAATATAGAGAGTTTTTTTAGTGTTCTGTTGCCTCTAGCTAGTAGAGGAGCTGTGCACAGGTGCTTAGCACGTGCCAGGAAATGTCTGCCTTGGGGTTTATTATTTTTGTTTGTGTTTTGCTACTGCATTGTTTTCTGTGTTATGCTGCAGCTGTCTGTGTACCAGGGAAGCGTTGCAGAGTGATTGTCCCTAAAGCCAAAGGGTGAGGAGGGTCTGGAGGCCACGCCGATCTCTCGGAGTCACCTGGAACCCATCAGAAAGCAGGTGCCTGGCAAGATGGGTGCGTTGGTAGAGAGTGATGCCAGTCAGAGGAGTTCTGGGGGTGGGAAGGAGCTACGAGTGCTGAGGAACAATGCTGGGTTTGAGCAGCCCTTTCACCTGCTGTGCCCTGACTGGGCAGCAGCATCGCCACCATGTAAGATGTGAAATGCCATGTGCCCGGCATCGTGATCCATAGCCTCCAGGGCTGGAGGAGAGGGGCAGTGTAAGGGGTTTCTGTTGAGGAGAAACAAGTCAGGAGGTTACCCGTTCCTCGTGTGCTGTGGCTTCTCAACCTCACTTCTATCACCGTGGGAAAAGTGGCTCTGCACCCAGCTGGGGTGGGTGTCCTTTCATGGTGTGAAAGGGATATAGTGTGATCGACCTGCCTCCACCAAGACGATGTGGATGTGTGTCCCACAGTTCATGGCTGGGGTTAGTATGATTTTTTTTTTAATTCCTCTCTTCAGTGACTGCCTGTACAGCAGTGTTTGAGCGCTGGCAAACTCAAGTGAAGACTTAGGCAGAGAAGGGGTTTGAATGAATGGAGAGTAGGATGTGACACTAGAGGTTAGAGATCAGGTTGCTAAGAGTTGGGAGAATCAGGATGGGTGGAGAAGGTTGCAGAGATAGCAAAGCAGGACACAGACTACCATGGGACAAGAGAGAAGTGGGTAAAGATGAAGGTAAGATCTGGCACACAGAAAAAGCAGGTGTGGTCTAGATGGGGGAGCACGAGGATGTTTGAGAAAGCCTCCAGAGGAGGCCATAGCCTGCACATGTTGGGGATTTTCAGTTGTGCTTTTAAGAGACTGGCAAGTATAGTACAAGTAAGTGACTGGAAAAGGATGTCACCTCATTCTTTTCCAGGCATGGACTCAGATGGTGAATATGAGAAAGAGCTTAAAGACACATCATCCACATTAGGATCTTCTTTTAAGTCTGTGGATTTAAGAATTGGCCTGCCACCAATCACCCTGTATAAAACCTTTTTTCGAAAGCTGAATTGTATCTTATTGATAATATGTTTCAGCACAGTTGGGGAAAGAAGAACTGGGCTCTGAATTTTTTGTAAGATTGAAAAAAAGGTAAATGCTTACTAATCTTTGGAATGAAACTTATTAGCTAAAATCTGATGGAGTATCTTCTCTCTGCAAATACTCAGATTGAATTCTGTTTTGCAGAACATTATTTAGATTTGTACTGTACCAGAGTTTTGGTGGTGTCTAGCCCAGAAGCCAAGATTGTTGCAAGTTTAATTGTTTTGCTACCACTCACCCCAGGCAATTCACTTGGTGTCTTTGTGTGTTGGATCCTTGGCTCTATTTGAAAAATAGGAGATAAAAGTCCTGTCTTAAAATGATTGACTGCATGAGATCAGAGCATAATTGGGTAAATTCTATAAAGCAAAATAAATTTTAATGCCAAATCCCATTTATACCCTGGCTAAATAATCTCAGAATCTTTGACTTTACAGAACTTTAATACATGATCTGGACATTGTGGCATGTTAGTCATACAAAACATTCCTTGAGAATAAACAGCTCCTATATTCAGGGGTTGTGTATCTTGAAATACACGGTGTAGGCAGTCCAAGCACTGTTGCTGAAAAGTGTTGGTGTTTTACAGACAAATAAAAAAGCAAAGATCCTGCTGTGAGCAGGTCACGCGGAAAGTCATTCAAGAGAAAATTAAAATGTCAACAAATGACTCTATGATGATTATTATAAAAAATAACTTGTGCTGAGCAGGATGAGTAGGACAGGAAAGGGGGACATTTTTCAGAAAGTGAGGGTAAAACTGAATGTTGTGCTGGTACTGAAGTTGCTGATATTTGTAGGTATATAATCAGGTTATATATAAACGTGTGTGTATATAATTTGAAGCAAATTGCCTGCCAATTTGAAGCAATTTTTAGCGGCATTTTCAAGTTCTAAACTGTGTCATACTTCCTTTAAACTATACTATTTATCCATTGCTTTCTTTAGAAATACTTTCCACAACTTTAGAAAGAAAGCCATTTGAGACACACATCTGTTTTGGGGCATGCATGTGCATGGGAGCTCATATTAGAGCTCATATTAAAGGCTAATGCTCACTGTTAAAGGCTAATGCTGGAAAGCAAAAACTTAAGGTTGTTGGAGTTCTTATAGCACTTAAACTGCCCTGTTAGGCAATTTTCTCTTTTGCAGATTGCATTATTAGCTAATGCAATTCCTGGAGTTAGCTTGTTTAACCAGTTGTGTTTGCAGAGGGAGGGAAAAAGGTGCCTTTCATTTCTAGGCTGTCTCCAGAGCCTCTCAAAGACGAGTAGAGGAACTCTTTGATAGTGTGCCTTGCTCGGTGACATTTGTCAGATCAGCCTTTGAGGAAACCCATGTCTGATGTAAGCTGCCCCAGCCTGCTTTGATGCTCTGCTTTTTCAGTTCAAACTTGATGTGCGCTTGCAGGGTCAGGGAAAGCTTTTTGTGGATTGTTCTTCAGTGGCAGCAGAAACAGGGAATGCCTATGAGCAACACAAGCTTGTGAAAGCCAGCCGTGTCCTGCTGCCCAAAATATGGACGTGTTTATAGTCATCTGGAGAAGAAACATCAGAAAGCACCGTGTGTGCGGCGGCCGGCGTGGCCGCGGGAGGCGGCGCCGTACGGCGACGCAGGCCGCAGGCGCGATCGACGGCGTCGCAGAGCAGCTGGAGCCTGTGTGTTGGAGCCCGGCTCCAGGAATGTTCGATACCTGAGTATTAAACTTGGAGAAGTTAAAAAAGGCTGCTCGAATAGGAGTTTTTTATTTGACAAGAAATACCAGCTGTTCTTGTTGGTTGTTTCTGAAGAATGGGGCAGAAATTTTCCAGCAGAAATCTTTGAATTCAAAGATAGTATATTATGAAGGAAATTTTAGAGGAAATGCTTCTGGGGCAAGGGCTGTCACTGAATTTGAAGCCCCTGTAGAAAGGGCTGGAAGGGAGCTCTGTTTCCTTGCCTCACTGAGTAAGTGTGACCTTCAGGAAATGCACAAGAAGGTTGCGTCCTTCTGCGGAGACACCCTGGAAACAAGCACCTCTCTACCTTGAAGGTAGCTTGTTGTAGAGGCAATAGGGCCAGAAGTTGCATTATAATAACCCAGGTTAGATGAGAAGACACAGTGAGTTCTCATCATAGGCCTCATCAGACCCATGGCCAAATACACATGCTCTGTGCTGCCACTGGCTGTGTTCACTAATGGTGTCAGGAAGGGGAATTCAGAAGCTTCCCAAGAGTAAATAGCAGTAAATTCATTTTGCCTTCCCTCCCGCCCAGCTTTAGCATGTCCTGTTGGAACCAAGAGCGTGTCTTTACATTACTCCAGGAATTCAGGCAGCAGAGGTGACACAAAATAGCTGTGAGCACCATGCACTGCCTTCCCCTTGGCCATCTCTGCTTTTCTTTCCTGTTCCACAGCTGGAGGAAACAGCCCCTCTGCCCTGTCCCTCATTGACCCAGCACTGAAAGGCAATACGTGTTTGGTGAAGTCTCTTAGCTGTTGGTGTCAGCTGCTTTTCACAAGTGCAGGCATCTGTAGTGCCAAGTTCCCCCAGATTTTGACTAATTTTACAAGTTTTGGGGTTAAAGATGATATTTTTGATAGTCCTCGTTTATCATAGAGACAGATAGAGAGAGGTTTGAGGGGATGGCAAGATACTTTCCAAATTTCAAACAGATTTGCAGGAAATCAGAGAGAACCTGATAATACAGCCTGTTTGTGCAGGCATCTCCATAGCAGAAGTTACTCAAGTTCTAGGCTCAAGGCACAATTTTAGTTTTCAAGACCTGATGAAATAAGGATATTTTTGTTTTGCTAAAATTGTAATGGAAATTGAAAAAGCATTACAAAAGTTAAACAAAATACAGGCTAGGAACGAAAACTGTAGGTTGTTTTTCATTCTAATTGAATTGCTGTTTTCTTGACATTTTATGTCTGTTGTAGACTTTAGATTTGCTGGTATCTTTGCTTGAAAGAGCGAGCACTCCAGATGAAGAGGGCAACGCACAGCAAAATGCCCAGGACAGCTGCAATGATCCCCATAGTGCTGATCCCACAGTAGAGAGTAACAGTAGATAACTGAACACCAGCTAATGATTTGGGTTCAGAACATGTTGTTTCTTCAGGGTCTTCAATTTTATCCAGATTCTCCTTGTACCAGGTGATCAAATCAATATTGGAGCAAGTGCACTCCAAAGGATTGTAACTTAAATTGATTACACTGTGGCCAGGTAGGGACACTAGCTTGTCACGTTGTATGATCTGAATCCTATTGTGGGCAAAATTGAGATAGACGCTCTTAAGATGTGAAAATGCATCTGTGCTGAATGTGGTGAGCTTGTTGTGGCTCAGATCAACGTACCTCAGCTTCCTGAGGAAGTGAAATGCTTGGCCATCTATTGCTGTCAATTCACAGGATGCTAAAATCAGTACCTCTAAACCGGTTAACTGTTGAAGCAGTTTGCTCTTTGGCATGATCCCTGACTCAAAGATATTCTGACTGAGGTCCAAGACCCTTAGCTTTTCCAGGCCTTTAAAGAGATGGGAAATGCTACTGTTGATCTGGGAGGAGGAAAGATTCAGGACTTGCAAGAGATGAAGATTTCGGAAAGGCCCCTGTGAACTGCTGATGTGCAGCTGGGTGAAAGCTATGTCCAGCACCTCCAAGTTAGCACCTTCCCTAAAGAGCTCATCACCAACGTGGAGTCTGGAGTTGTAGCTCAGGTTCAGGTACCGAAGGCTGCTCAACCCGCTTAGTGCTTCGCTGCAGCAGTTGGAGCTTTCAATGTGGCTGTGGCTTAAATCGAGATGCTGAAGCTTTGCTGCTTTCTGCAAGCAGCCAGAGCCCAGCTGCAGCGTGTGCGTGTTTCCGCGGAGGTAGAGGTGTGTGAGGGAGGGGAAGGCAGCTGCGCTGGCATTGCAGAGGTGCTCGAGGAAGTTCTTGTTGAGAACCAGCTCTGTGAGCGCCATCATACCACTGATGTCAGGGGGCAAGGCGCTGATGTGCGTGTGAGTCAGGTCCAGCTTCCGCAGCTTGGTCATACAGCGAAATGTGGCAGCATTAAGGTTTTCAAAGTGCCGGAGATGCAGATAGACATCCTGTACAGTGATGTTGCAGAGGCCTTGTAAGTTGTCAGGGCTTAAGTAGGACTCCTTTTCCACGTCATTAAATGTTCCCAGCCAAAGCGTGTGGACTGAGGAGTTCCGCATCCCTGCCAAGATCCCCGGGATGTTGATGCAGCCCCCAAAATCCACACTGTAGAAACTGGACTGGAAAGCCCCAGGTTCAATGTACAAAATGTCATTGCCTTTAAAGATGAGTGTTATGTTACTGGTCTTCTGCAGGACACTGACATCTTCTGCTGTGATTGTTCTTATGTTGTTCATTTGGAAATCAAGATAGTGGAGGTTCTGAGTTGGAAAGTTGGGAGGCAACTGCAACGAAGAGATGTGGTTGCTGCCCAAGATAAGCGTGTCCAAGCTGTCTAGATTTGTCATGGGAATAAAGGACAGTTTGCTTATTCCTGTCTGTGTTAATACAAGCTGCTTCAGGGACTGGGGGCCGACAAATGCTGTGTCGGACAGAAACAGGAGCAGGTTTCCAGTGAGCACGATGGTGTGCAGCCGGTGGTTGTTGTAGAAGGCATCCTCGTACACCCAGCTGATCTGACACCTCGAGAAAACAACAGAGCCAGCATCAGTAATCTGTCACCTCAGCAGTTTCCATTACTACATGGTAACCCAAATGACATTTCGGGGATGTAAAAGCTCATAATCAACAGCCTTTGCCAGAATAAAACAATGATTTCCTCTGCAAAGGGCTCTCACCTAGGATTGGTAAACTCACTTTAAATGCAGAGTCCTCATGAGGAAGCTGTATTACAGCAGAGAAAACTGCCCTGAAATGATGAGTGCAAAATCCCTGTTAAGGAGACATTAGTGGAAGTCAGGGAGACATGACGGTTTTTTTTAGTGTCAAACTTAATTTTATTAAAATATCTTTTTCTAGAGAAAAGATGAGCACTTATAAGCACTGAACCTATCTTTGCTCAGGTTTTATGAACAACATTTTTAAGGAAAAGTGAATTAAAAAGTCATTCTAGTCATGTTGTTGGTCTTAGCAACTGCAATGTGTGGAAAATGTATTTCACCCATTCTCCAGCAAATGACAGTTACTGGAGGAGCAGCCCACTTGTAACAATCTTGGTTCACGAAAATGCTAGCAATTGCCTGGAGATGGTACTGCCAGTTTCCCTGTGCTGTTGTGGGCTCTGGGAGCCTTCACCTCTGAGTGAGGGCGGACAGTGTTGACCAATGAGACCTCACAAGAAGGTGAGGATGATCTACTGTACCTTGTTAGATCCAAGGATAACAGACTGCTCAGCTTGGAGAAGGTTGAATTGTGAAGGGTAGGAAGCAAGTTGAAGCTGAAGTCGAGGATTTCTGTGGTGACAGGTAGCTGTTCAGGAATTTCTGTCAGACCTAAACCTTCACAGCTATAGCTTTTATTGACTGTAATCTGTGGAAAATACATAGTTAACCTCTAAAACACAGACTCTGAATATAAATATGTAAGTTGCACACTTTAAAAAGCAAAGAGAATTTTGAATTATTTAAAAATGTAGCAATCATAACTGTGAAATCTTAACATAGGCTTGAAATGCAGAATCCCAAGACTATATGGAGTGCTTTTGAATAGCTCTTGTACTGATCTGAAGTGTCCCATCTGTACTATTGTGCTTCTCACAGTTAACACATATGAATAATCTTTATTGTTCTGGATGAATTATTAATCCATAAGAAAGACCTTTCACAAAGTACTTTTAATATTTTTTCATGAATTCTGTAAGACAGCTTAATCTAAACTTCATGAGAATCTTGCAGAGTGGAGGAAGAAGAGCAGGCCTAGAAAAGTTCAGGTTAATAGGATTTGAGCTGCTGTGAGAGAATGGTAGGAACGTTTGGCTCTTGCTGGTGTTGATAATATCCGACACAGCAAGTCTTCGAATTTTCTATGTAGACTTTTCAGTTTAAGTGGAAGAAAAACCAACAACAACAAAAACTGTTATGTGGAAAAGTCTACTCTTTGAATACCAAAGGAATTCATTAAACATATCTGATCTGCCTGTGTCTCCGGGCAGTGGTGCAAAGATAGCACTGCAGTTGATCAAGGCTTGGGCCTATGGATGTGGATCCACGCATGGAAACCCAGCCCTAGAATCGCCTGGTGCTGCTGTTTCAAGCAACAGAAATGCTCAATGTATTGAGCATTGCCAGGGGCTGCACAGCAGTGATCAGTAGTTAACACACACGGTGCAGCACAAGGCAAGTGAGGCTGAGACCACCAGCAGCACCCTCCTGCCCCTGCTGAATCCACTAAAATTATTTGGTGCACAAGGCTCGACTGGGAGGGATGAGGTCTCTGGACAAGCTTGGCGGCAGCAGCAGCTTTGCAAACATCTGCCAGGAAGCTCAGACTTGACTCATGCACAAGCGGGCAGGAGCTCTGAGTACATGTTAAATGGTTGGCTAATCTGACCACAGTATTTCTTTGTCTCACCATCTCTTAGCTAAGAGAAACATTATTTAAACTAAGTGCACCAACATCTTGGGGTATAATTTGCAGCTTTGGGGTTACCTTGGGCAGCATGCAGCTGAAAGGGCCACCATAGGAGACCACGAGCTCGTGGCTGGAGCGCTCTGCCGTGTGTGCAGCCGTGCGCTCCAGCCTGGCCGGGCAGCCCTATCCACTGCCTCCTGAGGGCTGCCCAGGGAAGGAGCTGCCTGTGCAATGCTGACAGGAGGCCTTTGTGTGAGGAGAGATGCTAAGGTACAAATGATTTGTGTTCTGGGGCTGCCCTGCGTTTTTGTTTGGGTGCGAGTGTGCAGCCCCCCGGGGCATGGTGCATTGTGCAGACCTGGCCACATGTGCATTGCCTGGCTGCTGAAGACCAAGCAGAGCTACTGCCCTCTGGCAGGATGGGAGAGGAATGCACTCATTGAACAGCCCCACTGAAGAAGGAAAAGCTCTAACAAGAAGAAGGTCGGGGGAGGCTCCTTGGCCACCCCCTTCCGTGGGGGGCATTGGGCTCTGGTGGGGCCGTGTCCCCGGGCCACGGTGGCAGCGGGTGCAGAGCCAGCTCCTCTCCTCCCAGTGATGCACGGGCTGGGTGTCCATCCACAGGCACCTAGATCATGTCACTACAGAAACAGCCGAAGGCAGGCTGGGATAAAGCCGGGGCCTTTAGTACTGATGAGCAAAAAAGACCCCATGGAGCTGGCTGCTGTAACATGCAGTTTGAAAGAAAAAAAAATGCTAT